GAAGCGAGTTCGTTCCGGAATGCATCCGCATAATTCCAAGCGGCGAGGTGAGCCGGTCAGGTGGCGTAGGAACTCTAGAAGATCGCTGAGACGATAGAGCTGGACTGACTGGTACTCAAGGGAAAAACAAGGCCCAGAGGCAGACCCCCCACCAGATGAGCACACCCTCTCGTGAAGATGTACGGCCAGTTGTGGTGCAGAAGAGCCCGAAGCAGAACGACTTGGAATATGTGCGACCTGCGTTTCTGGCGTGCCCGGGACGCATAGCGGTCGAGAAGTAAGAAGTAAGAAGTAAGTATCACAGAAATCGGCAATTTTTGAAAGCAAAGAAGTCTACGTTTTTCTTTTCTTTTGGCCACATTGCTTTTTCATGGTGACTTATCTTCGTACACTAATTTTCGCCCACTGTAGGAGTGTTGGTCGTTATAGTAAACGATGCCCATCAGGGTTTCCTAATAAAATAACTTTTGACCAATATTGAAGTGGTGGTTTGCCTTGGTTCCACAAAGAATTGGATGGTTTGCTTGGATATTTGAGTTGTCGTGGTGATTCGGCCAGATTTTTCCACGGTTCAGCTTCGAATTTATTGCATTTTTACCAGAGCACTTTCGTTGATCTCTATGTATTTGTATTGTTTATCCTTGAAGATATTTCTTTTTTTTCGGTCCTACTCATGGTCATGATCATTCTCACGGGTAATTATAACTTCTTCAACATCTTGATTATTGTGATTTGTATCCCTATGCTGGAACGTGGTACGGCGTCATATTTCGTATTTGATGCTATTCAGAATTGGCCTGATTTTCTGATTGCACTTCCACTCAGGGCGTCATGTTCAATGGTTTTCAACGTGGACTGACAATATCCTTTCGCTCATTATTGGGTCTGTGCTCACTGCTCACTATATGTATTGGTTCAACGTCAGTTTCCACGTGACGTCACTGCAGGTTACAACTGAAATAGGTGTGCTACTTTTAGCATCCAGCTTCCATCTTTATTCTGTTTTTTTTTCTTTAATTATTTTCAGTATTTGAAAGACGACAGCTAGATGCTGCGGTGACAAAGACAACTTGCTTTTTATTGTATTTAGGTGTATTTATGTTTGTGACAACGGTTGTTACAGCTGTTGTTCAGTAAGTTTTTTAGGTATCTTTTGAAATATTTTCCTTACAGTTGTCATGCTGGAGGATTGAATTAAACCATACGCCATCATCCGTACGTTTTATTTTACACATTTTACCTTAAACGTTATGTATTAGTCAAAAGGCTTCTGTCAATTGATCTCTTTTGCCCCTATCACTACTCGCATGAAATAACCAGCTTATCGTTGCTTGACTTTGATACGTACCCCCAAAAAATCTCGTAGGATCAGTGCTGCGGAGTTCAGTTCGAACTCAGGCCGCGTTCATAGGTCGCGACTCGGGAGATTAGGATAGTAGAGACAGGATATTAGGATAGTAGTAGAGTAGGAGACTGCGCTGACAAGATTGCATACGTATCGATTGAAATCGCTGGAATAGTAGATTGGGCGACTTCAAGCGAATAGATCAATACATATCTAATCTTGGCGCAATCTCGTACTCTACTACTATCCTAATATCCTGTCGCCTACTATTACGATCGTAATCTCGTGATCTACTACTCTCCGGCGATTTCAATCGATATGTATCTATTCTTGTCAGCGCACTGTCCTACTCTCCTACTATCCTAATCTCCCTGTCAATACATTTTTTTCATTGTCGCGCATTATCCTACACTCCGGAGTCGTGAACTATGAACGCGGCCTTAGTGAAATTCCAAACCTCCGAAGATATAGCTTAAGGTACCTGTAAATCACAATTGAAGCTATCGAAGTTTATGTTCCTTCATGTATGATTTTGAATACTATCTTTATTTCGCAATTGTGTGGCTGAAAGGTTTCTGCTTGCGTAGCAGAATACCTTTCTCTGCCGTGCGGGTGGAAACTGTTAGAGGAATCCTTTCCGGGAAATTCTTTTTCTTTCTTTTTTTATTGTCCTTTCCACCCATAAATATTCTATAACGTTGAGGCCCACACGTTCACGACCAAAGCCACGAAAAATGCAACTGCAATTGCGTCTTTTTTAAACCGCCATTGCGGAACCGCGTGTTGCAGCCATTTGTCAAAGCACGCCATCCAACGTCAGATGAAGGATATTATACTGTCGAGTTTTCTCCACGGCATTTTGCTGAGTTACGAAGTCAACATTCAACTTTCCAGACACTGAATGTATCATATATTTCCGTACTGGTTAAATTTTTTCGTAGATTATTGCTACGAGAAAAAAAGAGATAAAACACCTACGAGGTGCATTATAAACGGCGGTCCCGCATTGGGTTGAACAATCGGAAGACCAGAAGACTGTTACGTGTTAGTTGCCACCATAATGTGTAACGATGCTGGCGGCCGAAACACTTCCATTTGGTTCTCGGCATGTCGTCACTGAGACTATCTTTTGACAATTTGACTTATGCACTAACACAATCTGATCCGATTACAGCTATCTCTTTGCCTCCTATTCCTATCGATTCGATTGTCTGAATGCTTTCATAGATTCTTCAATGCGTCCCGCCTAACACTGCGTCCGGAGACGCACTTCTTTTCCTTGCCTCTTGCCCGATCACCTTCGATTATCCAGAGTGGTGTTCCTAAGCTTGCTTCTCTTGAAAACTTAATCTTTGTGCATGAAACTTGTCCCTGTGATCACAACTGACATAATCTCCGCCTCAAAAGCGAGAAAGTGTCAGGTGCAGACCAAACACTACAACTGTCGACGGCCTCCAAGTCAATCTGGTTAGAAGTTTTTCATAGTGGTAGCTGATTTCTGTAAATGATAGTTTGTAATTAGTGACAATCGATGGAATACAACTGCAACAGGCTAATCATTCCATTGGCCGGTGTCAGACTTTGCCATTGGAGCGATTTTGCACCAATTGCAGGAGCGACGGATCGCTCAAGCAATGCGAGCGACGGGAGATTTACCCGAGCTCCGCCGTGTGTATCGGTATTTGGCGGTGTAAATCTCCCGTCGCTCGCATCGCTCAAGCGATCCGTCGCTCCTGCAATTGGTGCAAAATCGCTCTAATCGCAAAGTCTGACATCGGCCATTGGCCGAAAACATTAACATCCTGTGAAGGCCGTCGTCACTTATGGTGCATGGTCTGCACCCATACTTTCTCGCTTTTTGAAGCGGAGGGTATTTATGTTGGGGAATAATGCAAGAAATTTCTGGGCAGGACTCTATCAATCGAACATTGTGAGAATTCTGGGTCAGCGAAAGATCCGCTACCATTTCCAAAGTCGGGACGCGCACACCTTGGTTCTGTCGTCTTATCGGCCCATCGTCATGTTTCTGCCTATTTCCAGGGAACAAACTATGCTTAGGTGATACCTCATTCGGAGGCTATCTATCTTAACTGTTTCGTACCAGTGGCACACATTGTACCCCCATAGCTTGACGGGTTTTTTTGGGAAAGGGCTCGATTGAATAGTTCCACTGAAATGTGAATTGCACATCCTTTACACCAATAAACATTTGCCACACATGTAAAACTAGCCTTGAATTAGCACCCCTGCCCCCCAAAGTTCGTTAATTTGTGGTGGTGCATATGTGTCTCACTGGTTAACAAAGAAGTAAATCTAGGTGGGACAATGAATCCGATGTTAAAAAAGGGTAACGACTACTGTGAAAGGGGAGTCTGCGAGCCCAAAGGATCGGAAGATTTCCTTGCCGAAGTGGGCGATGTAAGGATCTTACAAAGCTCTACCATTCCCTCTGGCACCTACCACTGCCCGCTTTCGATTGGTGCTGGTCCCGCATCTTGGACTCAAGCTGTTTTAACACGTTGACGACAGGCTGAAGCCCAAGCGCGTCCGACATTTGGCACCGTATTGGACATTCTGACGCGCATGCGCGTCAGCAACTTGGTACCCGTTTACCCGCGCATTTTGTACTCCTTCCTGAAAATTTTTGTCACTATTATATAGACAATGCATCAAAATGCCTGTAAACGGTGTGGTCTAAAAAGCAGTCAATATGGTTCAGTTGAGCGAAGGTTTTCTGAACCTCACTAAATTTTCCGTTTATTTTAACCTCCGATACTATTTTGGGGTAAATGAGCACAAAACAAAATATAAATGCAAACAACAAGGTGATATATAATGTCAGGTGTTTAAGGTTCTATAGATGAGACTTGTGTTTTTCATAAAAGCAGTCTATACAAAAGAATTTCTCACATCTTCCGCAGCGCCTTTTAAACCTTTTGTGTTTTGAAGCCGCAAAGAGATCCTTGCACTTTGGACTCAAATGTGTAATGTTCCAAACACTTTGTGCTGATGATTTCTTTTGAACCTTTACTTACTTCTCCTGGCCCTGTCCCGTGGGAAGCAACTGGCATGAGAAGTACTCACGCTCAACGATCAGCAAAGATTCGAGCACTTTCTTGTAGTCATTTATCCGAAGAGATAGCGTGAACATGCAATCCAGCTTTCCAGAATCGCCCGACCCTCCTCTCTCCCTATCCCCTGAGCTGGCTATACTCTCCCAGACTCATGGATTCTTTATTCTGCATTGATTTCATCACTAGTATTTTGCTGAGAGGGTGGGGACGAGCAGCGTATGTTTTCACCGGAAGCGCTTTCCCCTCAGTTAGCGTTGTACCCTTGTTTTGCCACTTTTCAGTTTTGAGTTCCGAAAAACGCACCTCGTAGGACAAGCTGACGCGCTTGCTCCTCAGGCAAATCGCGCTCGCCAAAGCGCACACGTCCCATGCGCCGGAAAAAGTCGAAACCTGCGCTGTCATCATTGTGTTAACTGAGTTAGAAAGTGAAGCGTTCACGTTGATGACGTCAACACCGATGAGACTCGTGTAATGCTGAAGCCAAAGGTCCGTATGCGTCTTTTAGCGATTTTTCGTGTTCGTTTTTGTTTTACAATTACATAATCACCACTTCTACCTTTCACTTCCATCCATTCAATTTCTGCGTGAGGCGGGTGTCAGGCATCGCGATTCACCAACGAACAAGATCGTATTTTATTGAAATTGAGCCCCTGTGTTGTGAGGCTAGAAGGCTCAATAAAAATAAACAAATAGGAGCGCGAGTTTGTAGAATCACCGCTGGAGCAGTCGAACTCATGCAGCAGCTGCCAAAAATCAGTTAATGAGTGGTTTCTCGATGTTTTCTCTTCCGGGAACCACTGAATCTTCTCCGAATTACCAGCAGTCATTTTGTAAGTGCTTTCTAATCCACACAAAAAATACCTTGTAACTCGAACCGTGGTTATAAAAACTAGTTTTTTGGCACTATTGCACTATTACAACCCTAGTGGGGAGCCGACATGGGTCAAAAAATAATTTTCGCTTAACACGTTGACGACAACGCAGGACACATACGTCCCGCACTTTGCAGGCCATAACGGACAGCGCGGGACGTATGTGTCCTGCGCTCAATAAATTCATTTTATTCCGCGCACCCACCATTCTTTTCTTAGTTTTTCGTACATATCATTTGGAAGAAACCTTAGTATAGCTACCAAGATAGTATCCCACAAAATGCTCACGTATGTCATAATTCAGACGAAGATTCCCGATACCTCACAACGCACTTTCTTCATTTAATTTCTCATTTATTTTTTCTTTTCATTAATGTGACAAGTAAAAGAGTAGAAGAAGTAAATGTAGAACGTAAGGGATTGCAATGTTGTGTTTTGATCGAGACAATCAATTCAAAACTTCTTTTAGCATTCATTGTAGCTTGGTTTGGCTAACTTATCTTTTCTCATTGTTATTTCACGTCCTTTGATGGGATTTCCTCCACTGTTCTCTTGGGTAGCTTCTGCACGCTGGAAGGTAGCGATATCACTTTTGATCAGACATTGTTTTGTGCATCTATAAACCAAAATCCGCTTGAATTACCGGAGGCGGGCGCGCTCGCAAAATCTCGCCGGTCCCACGCGGCCAAAAAAGCCAAAACGCGCGCTGTCGTCAACGTGTTAAACTTCTGCCACGGGGGTTATCGAGAGTCCTGATCACTAATGGCATCCATTTTTGACGCTAACGCCAAATTGGCGCCAGCTGGCGCCACTACTGATTACCACCAAATTCGCTATAAACTCCTG